TGCATACTGCAGCTCGATAACAAACGTAGCAAATCTCACATTACACTGCGCCTATCAACTTTGATGCTTCCAAATACCCTGCACGAACGCCCGATTAACCCCGCAGAACCACGGCGGCTACTCCCATTTCCGAACCACGGACATGCGGGTCATCCGGTTGTGGCAGTCACGCCAGCCAATCGCAAATCAGGGATATAGTTCCGCTCCACCACCTCTTTCCCTCCCCCCTGCTGCGTGCGCCCCACGTCATCGATAGGCCCCAGTCTAGAAACGAGACAATGGGCATTGTTTGGCAGCCTGGCAGGCCTATATAGTCAAGGTGGGTCTGGGACTTTCTGACGTGCGTGCTTGCATACTGTCTACCACTCCCGCGCGACAAACTACTTACGGAATTTCATGTACGAACATAAACCCGAGAAAATGGCCGACGAGAAGAAAGAACAGGTGAAGCGTGTTGCGGCGGAGAAGAAGGATCAGGCGGAGCGGGTGGCTGCTGAGAATGGAATGTGAGTTTGTGGTGCTGTGAAGTCGAGATGCGATGGGTTGCTAATGGATGAGTAGTGCTAATCCTTCGGGTGCGATGATTGCGGCTTTTGCGCCTATGTATCTCGCTGCCATACCTCTTACGTACGTCTGCTCAGGCTCTCGAAGCCGTTCGTTAAACCGGACTGGAACTGACTGGATCGAATAGCTCCTTCCTCACAAAACCGAACAGCGTCACGCAATCGCTGGTTCATGCTCTCATCAAGTTGATTCCAGGAGTTACCGTACGTCTTCAGTTCTTTTACCCTGATATAATACTGATAGCAACATTCAGACTACAGCGATAACTTCCGGACGCGCAATCCCCGCCCTCTCAGCTCTATACATATTCTGGACCTTCGGCGCATCGGGCGCACTCTCCGCAGCAGGACAAGCCATGGGACGGGAAGAAGGTCTTGACCTGGAACATTCGAGGAAGCATATTCACAAGCTCGATGGACTGCCACTGAGGCTGAGGAGTGCGCATTATGCGCTTATGGAGAACTTCCCTGGTAAGTCGAAATTTCTCGCAGTGCCCCCTGTCAGTAAAGATTGCTAACGTGATCGTGATCGTAGGCTTCGCCCTTGCTGCCGCGCTGGCGCAGGTCCTTGCGCCTCGAGATGCACAGATCGTGAACCTCCTGGGATACCATGTCATCGCCAAGTTGCTTGTACATTACCCGTCTTACCTGAGCAACGTGGCTCTACCGAGGACTGCTGCGCATGTTACTGCCACGGCGGCTTTGATCAACATTTGCTGGAGGTTGGCTGCTGGCAACTAGAATGGAAGGAAATTTTGAAGTCGTGTTGATTAGGTAGAGACTACTATCCGAAACTATCCAAGACGTGTCTGTGGCTACCATCCTATCTATGCAAGGAAGCTCATCTTGCTACTAGTACCGCTCTTGTACTTGTATTCCCTCTCATAGTAGTTCTGATCAACTACATCCTCTTCACCGAGGAGATCCTCACCTGCGAGAGCCTTGTCGTGCAGGACCATGGTTGCAACCTTCGACTCTCCCAAACCGTTCTTACTGGCTACCCTGCGGACCTCTTGCAGAATACGATCCGAGAGACGTTGATACATGGGGTCGTCAGGAGGATTGTCGCCTCCTGGGCCTTCCTTGGAAGAGCCACCATCGCTCTCAAACGGCTCGAAGTAAGCAATCACCGTTTCCAGCTCAGAGAAGTTTGCCAAAACCTCAGCGTAGGCGGCAAAACGGTTGTCGAAGCCGGTGATCTGCGCTCCGGTAACGCCATGTATCTTGCCAGCGAAGCCGTCATGCTTCCATGGAAGTCCAAACATGAGGTGTCGGAATCCCAGCCGCTTGAGGTTGGGACGGATAGCCAAGATTTTCTTCAGCATACCTACGTTGAGAGAGTTCGCCCCAAAGCTCAGATCACATGACTCCAGATCAGAATGGCTGGCGATCATCCGAGCCAAGTCCGGCTGCCAAGGGTTGAGCGAGACGACTTTGAGGTCTTTCAGGGTCGAGAATGAAGCGAGAAACGCCTCAAGACCGTTGGGATTCTCCTCCCAAAGCTCTTCAGCATAGTCCCAGTTCTGCACGTCCAGCTTCTGAAGACTGACGTCAGCAGCCATGAAGTGTCTGAGGAAGCGGGGTAGCAGCTGGCAGTCATCCAGTTCGAGCCGACGTATGCTAGAGAAGTTGATGCATGTGTAGGTATCCAGGGGGAATCCGTGGCCAAAGTCGAAGTGACCGAGGCGCAGATGCGTGATGTTGAAGCAGCGGATGGCGGGGGGTGGCGCAGGAGCCATGTTGAAGATGTTTGCACAGTCATGCTCGGGCCATCGCATCGACCATGCTACGGATTCGAAACCTTGTGCGGTCGGGAACCCAAAGGCGCCGAGAACTCTACGGAACATGTTCACCGACGTGCCTGTCTCTGAATTGCGGTGTGACATAGCCTTATAACCGCCACCGTGCACCAGGAGTGCGTCTTTGCTTTCTCTTCGGGTAGGCTGGAACGTGTAGTTGACTGAAGAGTCCATCATACGGTGTGGCTGCGGGATAGAGTCACAAGCCCATGGAAGATACAGCTCTTTGAGGTTTTCCTTCAGTGGCATCGAGTCGGCATCGAATAGCATCTGGAGATAGGTATCGACCTTGCGAGTGAGGGAGACGTCAGTAAGCCGAAGCTCCTTCAGCGGTACGTCACGGAGCTCCATGAGAAACTCAGCCAGAATATATCCGACTTCCTCATCGTTCGAAGCAGAGAGAGTCAGTGTTTGCGTCCGGTGAAGTTTCATCTGGTCCAGGGTACATGGCAGATAGGTATCCGCCATGAAGCTAGCGTCCTGACACGGGCTTTGGTCGATGTTGATGACGACGTGTTGGTAGAGAGGGCGAGCAGCGGGAGCTTGAAGATATTTGCAGACCAGAGTGACGTCGTACAGGAATTGTCTACCTTTCTTTTCATGGTATAGCTGTATCAGTTAGCAGTGCTCCTCTGCATTTCGCTCAAGCATCTGGAAACTCAAGTTCTTTACTTACATGCTCCATAACATTGTCTAACAGCTCTACGGGGAGCTTGAGCAGGCCTTGACGCTCATTGGTCGGCGTTGTGGGGGCTGGTATAGCGACAGGCGCGGGGATGGGTGTAGGAACAAGTGCGGGGATGGGTGTAGCAATAGGCGCGGCATCGTTCAGTTTTGGTTTCTTCGATACCGCATCGTCTGACGGCGATGAAGAGCGGGAGCGAGGACGCTTTGACGGAACTTGACCCGGACTCGCTGTGTCCTTGTTCGCTGTAGTATCGGGCTCTGCGCTGTCGCGCTTGGCTCCTCCGGATGCGGGTTTCTCTTCTCCAAGTCCAATGGACGTGTGAGGGCGCTCCAATGGAGCGAGATCGTTATTCGATGTCATCTTGCCAGTGATCTCTGTCGACCCGAGCGACAGTCGCCAAATTGATCCAAGAAGTCGGGAGGTGGGAGGAAGGTGAGGGGGAGGTGAGAGAGATCAAGTGAGAGAGAGATCTAAGACGGTGTCAACACCGCGACCGTTTGCAATATTGCGTCACCCACTCAAGGCGCGCTAACGCGCACAGTCGCCCACACACCCGCTACAAATACCGCTTGTCTCACCCATTTCCTCTCTTTACTTTCTACCACTTCGCGTTCCCAAGATCAACCGCACTCCACAACCCTCTACTCACCCCTCTACTCACCCCTCTACTCACCCCTCTACTCATCTCTCTACTCACCCTCTACTCACCCTCTACTCATCCCTCTACTCACCCTCTACTCAACCGCGCCACCCGATCGCGCTACATCGTAAGTGATCCACCAACCCATCTGTTCTACTAAACGTGCAATAGCCGCCTGGAGATACCCTCCAGCCACATCACTTCGCTCACCGGGTGGAAGCGTCGAGTCGGCATAATAGCCACCAAAAGGCTCAACTTGTGTGGAGGGGACCCCAGGCCAAGCCACAGAAGCTTTCAACAGTTTCGCCAGTGCGAGTTGATCTACGAACGATGGTGAGCGACGGAGACGATACGGAGATCTTTAGAGGTCTACTTGGAGGCTCGCTGGTGCCTTTGAGGACGGTCGAAAACCAGCGCCCGTTCTACCCTTACCCCAACGTCCGGCATTCAACATAACCGGGAGGGAAACGCAGAACACCTTTTTTTCATTGATACGATTGCTTTACGCCGTCGATCGAGGAAGAAACAACATAGTGACATTCAGATGACGAGACCGCTGATTCATAAGTCTTTGGATTGGATATGGCGAGAAAGACAAAAGGCGGGGTAACTCGAGTATTTCCAAACCATCAACACCGCTGGACATAGAAGACTGAGCTCAGAGTGAGCGCGAGGCCTGGATCTGAGGAAGAGAGACAGCACGTACATGATTTGGGGGAGGGAGCGCGCGGTCACAAGGCTGGTGCACTCGTCGCGATCGTGTTCACGTCTATCTACATCTAGCTACGTAGCGACTGAGACATGACTTGCGACTCGCAAGTTGAGCTTCGCGTGACGACAAATCATCACCATCGGACTCACAATCGCGCACCAGCAACGAAACGGAGCAGTTCACTTGCTGGACCCGCGTTTCTCGTGAACATGGACGCAAAGTGATAACGAACAAGCATAGGTAGACAGATTTACGTAGTGAAAGTATTTGACATGAAAGTATGATTGGAGAATAAGAACAATGCGCCGGAAACCGAGTTTGGTGGCTGTTCTACGCGACCATATATCCTCCATAGCGAGGTTCTTCTTCGGCAAGTTCGGTGTCAAGTATCAAGATGGCACAATCATGAGCTTTGGGGTTGAGGAGATTCGTGTTCATGGCGTGAAGGAAGAGGTGGGAGATGTTGTCGTGCTGGGGTTTCCTGGCTGACGTCATGTCCCCACACTAGCCTGATTGGCTCCTTTCAGCCACCCAAGGTTTGCGCTGAAGATGGCAGCAAGCTGATTTCGTCGGTCGGCTGTGTTCTTTCCGGTCCGGCTTATTCATGGTAATATGAAGATGTATTCGCCCTTCGTCTGAGTGGCCGCGGGACTTCAACAATGCGATCGTCATGCGGGGCTCTCAAGACTCTGTCTGGCCTGCGCGTGCTGTCGTATGTGCTCTCGTTCTCAGGTTCTGGGCCGCGGACAACGAGTTCTGCCATGCCATCCTCGGTTGGGATAAACTGTATGGTACGGCCTTCCTTGTCGCCATTGAATTGCAGATTGAGCATAGCGTTTGGATCTACTTTCAAGCGAATCTCGTTGTTACCGTTGCTGATAACGGTGGCATCACCACTCTGCATCAGTGCGTTAATGTCTCTTCTTTCTACTTTGGGTTCGTCCGACTCATCGTCGGATGACGATACATGCGCCAGCTGTGCTTCAACAAAACGATCATCAATAAGATCCCTTCGGATCCTTGATGTCCAACCACGGTCTTCAGGTTGGCGCCTGTCAGCCTGAGATGAAGGCAATGTCGGACCCGACCCTGTGGGCAATACTCGAGTACTTTCGGATGTTCCGACTGATCTTTTCTGATCGACATTGGAGGCATGAGGGCTCTCGACCGCCGGTTCGTTCTTGAATGCATCTTCCCTTGTTACAGCCAGCTGTTCCTCCCTCATCTGTTCAGCTTGATCATTCAGCATAATATTCTCTTGTGGCCCCCTCTGCCTCACCCGGTGCTCCCACTCCGGAATGTAACGTGGAGATGGTAAGGGCGGCGGGGGTTTATTGTGTGCCGCCTTCGGAATCACCATTGGTGCATTTGTATATGGGAGGATAGGCTGTTGATATTGCGGCGATAATAAGAGCCCGTCATTGCGGTCACTCAAATCTGAACCAAGGGCCTCGTGTGACCCATCCTTAGGAAAGCTGTCATTTGGGATTGGGCTACCGTCCAGGTACTTAGCTTGGTCGTATTCGGTGGCGTGTGGGAGCCGGTTCTCCTCAACCGGGTCTTCGGCTTGGATACTTCGGCCGGATTCCGCAGCGGATCGATGGAGATCGGAGGTCCTCGACTTTGACGTAGAGACAAGAGGCTCAATATGTTCGAGACGCTCTTCTTTTGGGCGGTCTATCTGTCCAGCGATTGCTATCAGGGGTGTATGGTCTACCTCCCTGTCTACATCCGGACCGTTTTCAGTGTGATGATCTTGAGCTGTGTGGTCTCTCCAATGGCCTGGTGTCGTTCCGGCAAGACTTTTCCAATAGGCTCTCCAACGTTCTTCCAATTCTACGTTCTCCGCTTCCGTGGACGCTACTGTATCTTTCTTTTTCTCTAGATTAGATCCCAGGTCCGCAATGTGAGGCTCTGCGATCTCTTGATGTCGAATTAACGGCGGCGGGTCCAATATTATTGAGGGTATCTCCGCGAGAATGACAGGTTTAGTGCTGTTATCGCGAACGGTCTTTTCAGATTTTGTTGATGGTTCTGCGTTCGTATCATATGACCGTAACTTCTCCTCCGCGGCGGCGTCCAGATACTCTCTAAGAGTAGGCTCCATGTCAAGCTCAGTAGCCAACGGAGGGCGGATCTGCTCAGGCTCACTCGCGTCTGAGAGGTCCACGTCACCGTCTTCAGCAGCGCTCTTTGAACTGGGATCGCTGTCATCGTCTCTCTGAACATCTTCCTGGACACCTTGTTCATCATCCTCGTCATCACCGGAATTTGCTGGGAGAGCGAAGAGCGCTAACTGTTGTTGGTGGCGGCCCAGATGCTTTTGCAAGGCCCGCAATGTCATCCACTGACCACACAGCCTGCACTCTGTCTTCACATTGAGGGTCGCATGTTTGGTCGAAGTGCGCTTCAACGCGGAGAGCATGCTTGGGGCGGCCAAGTCTGGATGATGCTTTCGTACATGACTCTCAAAGCCAGATTCAGTTTCGAAAGTACAGCCACATTCGTCTATGCATTGCCACTCAATCCGATGGGCTTCAAGTTCGTGTGCAAACCACGCTTTGCGAGAGTCGTAGAGTCGATCAGCGATGGTACAATGTTCGTAGGTGCAACAGTACGGGTGCAAGTCTCGAAAGACGTGTTGTCTGCCCGAATTAGCAATGTGTAGTTCAAGTCGTAATACGTACTTACTTCCACTCAGCTACTGTGTGGATTGATACCAGAAGGAAGCAGAGAGGACATTCGAAGAAATCTTTGTCGCGAGCTGCTTTGGGCAAGGTCGGAACTCTGATGGCGGCTTTGTGAGAAGTAGCGTAAGATGTCTGCGATGCCACATCATCTCCCTCATCGAGCACTTCGAGACCTGATACTTGCTTTACGCGTGTTGCTTCAGTACTATTTGTTGTAAATTCTGTCGTCGCCTTCTCAAAGCCCAGCTTTTCGATATTCTTACTGAGCTTTTGATGATGCTCTTCTCGGTAACTCAGATATTGTCTTCGCGCAGACAAAGCGCGTCCCAACCTCTCAATAAGGTAGCGTGGCGCATCTCGAAACTTCTCTGCGACATGTTGTATATCGTGTTGCTCATAGAAGGATTTATCGATGCTGATGGTGCTTGTTGACTGACTGTTAGGTGCCGGGTTGCGTATGGCTATTGAGAGGCGGAAGAGTGAGGTGATCACAGACTTGATGCCTGTCACGAGCTGAAGGAGCTCTGTTTTCTCTTCGAGGTCAGTATCTGAGCTTTCCCCATCGGAGTTGGCCGAGTCAGTATCGGAAGCCGATAATTCGTCCCAAGGAATTATGTCGTACTTCACAATCGAGAGAGCTATCAGCGTCAGTCAATGCCACAAGTCGTAGATGGTGCTCATACACACCGTCTCGCAAAGCATCGGAAAGGGCATCAAGCTGACCATGAGTCTCCGATTTGAGATGGATGGCATCTCGAAGCCTATACGGTGTGTATTAGCCGTGTGCTATGAGCAAAGTCAATCAATGATCAATTGGAAGTTACCTGTACTCCAAGCTACGACGGCCCTTGCGATGCGCTGCGATGTTTCCTGCCCATAACTTGAATCGAGAGAATTCGTCTAGGATCACTGCTGGAGGAACTTGTGCAGCGAAATGAGTATCCTTTTCCAATGCAGCAGCAAGGCCCACAAAGTCTTGCGCGAGATGATCGACTCTCGTCGCGATGGCAACATCGACTGGCGTCACTGTCGTCGAGCTCATGATGCCAGGTGTTAGGAACGTATGCTTTCTGTATGTAAAATATGAAGAGGAGGCGTCGATGTCTTTCCGAGAATGACTCTGCAGCCTGCCCGTGCCTCACCGGGAACCCCGCGACCCCGCTTCGTGCGACCTGCACCACATCTCTCAACACACATCGCTCAGTCGTCGATGCTCATCATCAGACCTAAATTCACGTTGTCGTTCGCTCATTCGGCTCTCTTCTCTACCCTAATACCACCGAGTGTACCTTATATCGAACGTCGCACACCACAACGTACCTAATCCAACTTCCATTCGATGGCGACGGGTATCGAGGCCGCCGGCCTGGTGCTGGGCGCTATACCTTTGGTACTTGCGGGTTTGCAATTCTATGCCGAAGGAATCAGTGTGACGAAACGCTACTGGAGGTACAAGAGGGGTGTCAACGAGATTCTAAATGAGCTGAAGGTCGAGACTGCTATGTGCATCAACAGCATCAATATACTGTTATTCGGGATAGTCACCCCTAAAGAGATGGTTGGGTTTCTGAACGATCCACAAGGCGCACGTTGGAAAGAGGAGAAGTTCGATCGAAAGCTTCGCGCCAGGCTAAGAGCGAGCTATGACCCGTACATGGCAAGCATCCACCAAATGGTGATCATAGCTGAGAAGTTCAAAGAGCGATTGAAATTGGACGATGCGGGAAGGCCTCAGTTTTCCGAGAAAAATGCATTCAAGGAGCATTACGAGCGTTTGAAGTTCAGCCTGAAGAAATCGGACTACACGGAATTGATGGAACGGTTACGACGCGCGAATCTGGCCCTCGATCGCTTGACGAATCAGACGACGTACCTCGAGACCCACACACCGGATCGCTTGTCAGTCCCGAATTTCGGCATGATCAACGAGAGAGCAGATAGCTTCCACTCCGCGCTGAAGGCAGGTTGGAATTGCCCATGCTCGGCACACCATACCGTCAGTCTGCGCTTAGAGACACGCATCGAGGCCGTATCGAGTGATGAGGATGAGGACGACGATGCGCATATGATGCGTGACCCATTCCACGTTCTTTTCCATTACGACAGGGATCATGCAACTGAGCAATCAAGACAGGTTGGTGCTTGGTCCTGGGAGGAGGCGGATGTACGAGTCGATCCTATTCCAGACACTACACCGCATGTCCAACAAACTAGAGGTGTTCGGTTTGCAGCGCAGAATATGCAAAAGGCTGTGCGAGCGGCATTGGAAGCACGTCCGAACATGCAGCCCATAAAAGACTTGTGTGCTGCAATTTCGGAGCTCCAGAAACCACAGCGCGAAGTTTGCTTTTCTTTGCTTGCTAGCGAGATCGCGAAGCAAAAGTATGGTGTGCACATATACCCAACGAAACAGATGCCTCTCGACCCTGATACATGGTCGATTTCTTCGCTACATATGAGCTTGAACGACACGGATTTTGCTCGTCGCGATCGCTTGAAGTTGGCAGTCACACTTGCTTCAAGTGTTTTGCAGCTTCATGAAACCCCATGGCTTGATCAGTACTGGGGTAAAGACAGCATCTTCTTCGTGAAGCGACCTGGAATGACCATGTACGACCAGCCTTTCGTGTCATGGGACTCCAGTCGTACCACACCACCTGCAGAAGCTGGAATGCCCAAGTCAATGAATCACATCATCCGTAATCAGCCTTTGTACGCGCTTGGTGTCGCGTTAATAGAGCTCTGGTATGGCAAGCCTCTTCAAGAACTTTGGAAGGATGAGGATGGGCCTTTTTATACCGGTGTACGACAAGTCGATATCCTGACTGAATGGAATACCGCGAATCGACTTGTAGACGATCTATACAGCGAAGCTGGTCGTAGATATGGCGATGCCGTTCGGCGATGCATCCGCTGTGATTTCGATCGAAGAGCTAATAGTCTGGATGACATTCAGTTCCAGCGAGACGTATACCACGGCGTGGTATCGCAGTTGAAAGAGAACTACGAGTACTTGTTTTAGCACTAGTCATACTCAGCTTAAACTTCCATCGTCATCTTCAACAAAGAGCATAAGCGTCGCTATCGACGACAAAGGTTTTGACTATTTCCCACTCTAGCCGAAAGCGAGCATGACCACCAGCGAGTTATATGTTACCCTGTCAATCAGCTTGAGTGCCAGATGCGGGACGACGCAAGCTGGGCAATCGCATGTTCGGTAACGCTTCCACAGAGGCGGTAGTGTAGCGAAAGAAGACTATGCAAAAGCTCGTATGAGACCCTGCGGTCCCTCAATGCATGACTGAAGATCTTCTCATGTTGGTGAGGTTAAGTAAATGTTGGAACAAAGAAGAGGGTATGGTCGGGCGTAGAACAGGCAGGAGCGCTTGGAGACTCACACATTTATGGCTTCTTTGCATGGCAGTTCCTTTTCACCCTCACCGATATCTCAGCATCGTGGGTCCGAGCAGAGAGAGGGATCGATCTCGCGGAGCGCTCTATGACTACCGCGGAGCTACACCGAGAATCCGGGAAGGAAAGGGCGGAATCTTTTCGCCTTCCCCCTTGCGCCTTCCAAAGGTGGCAATTGATCGTGTCGCCAATCGCGAGGCTGGTCAGTGTTTGCCTCGTGCCAGCGGAACATAAATGGCAGCGGTTACCTCCCCCGAGAGTTTTCCTCTCCACACTTGCACCCTCAACTTGTTCTCTCTACTGCCGCGCTCTTAAACCATAAAATTTCTCACGAACTATAAACACAAAAGACAAAATATATATTGAAGTCATGTACTACCACCACGTTCTCTCTATTCTCCTCATCGTCGTCGGCATGGCGTTTGCGGCTCCTAGTCCGCACATCGGCATGATCAACAACGACAACGTCCGCGATGTCGGCGCTGTGTACTCTCAAGCAGAGTTCTCGTCCGCGCCTACGTTCCTCCTCATGGACAAGCAGAGCCCTAGGTGTATTCCACTGTACGTAATTCCATCACTCTTCCATCGCAGTCATTGACGTGTTGTAGCAACAACGACGACATCATGTCAATCATGATCTGCGTCGAGTCCATCGAGTGCAACTTTTGGAAGGTACGTATTCGACACATGATTGAGATCGGCCGTACGAACTAACAACCAAAAGAACAAGGACTGCGGCGGCTCAATTTCGGACGAGGAAGCCGCCTTCACCGTCGGTTGCGGCGATGTCCACAAGCTTCCTCTACCATTGACTGGCACATACGGCTCCTACAAGTGCCAGCATGTACATCTCAATACCTACGAGTCTTCGAGCACTGTCAGGGTCGAGACTACTCCTCACGACCCCAACAACGATGTGCTAGGCCAGGTATAAACTCGCATTATCTTCGATGACGCCAATCATTCACTGACCTTTCACAGTAAATCTTGCTTCCGTCGACTACTATCTCGGTGTCAATGCGATTATACTACATTTGGGTTGGTCAGCCTTACGACGATGGTGAGATTGATCTATTGACTGTGGTGGTTCATCTCTGCAGGTCCTATTTTGGATAGATCTAATGGCAGTCATGGACAGTAACGAGTGGTGGACAAGTAGCTTGGATTTCAGATATCGGCATCAACTTCATCTAACGAATTTGAAACCCTATCTTCATCTGTTAAGTCTTTGACCTATGCGTCACGGTGCTACGGCGGCGTGGAAGGTTTTAATGACATCCATGCCGTGTGGTAATCTGAAACAGCACTGTTCCGAGATTACTTTGCGCATGCAAGCTGGCATCGCACATCAAATTGACTACATATGCGGTACGACCCGGAATCATTAGCGATTGCTAACGTCGCTTCACACCAGATGAAACATATCCAAGACCGCCCGCCCCTTCATCAATGGAAAAATGGATATCATAACTCAGTACTCCGACGCGTTGCGCTTCTTCCCAATTGCTTGGTCTCAACACTATGCCTTTGACTTCTGACCCAGTAGCGGTATCTGCATGCCCTCACTAAGCTGGATTCTTGGGCCTGGTATCTCGCTCATTTGCTCTCTCTTGGGTGTATCACCAAGCTTCTTCCACATGAGTTGCAGCATGACATGCCCCGGCGTGATGCCGGTCTGCTGCGATCCCCAACGGAACTGCCATAGTGGAAGAGATTCGTTGACAGTGGGGGTACGCTTAGCATCGTAATAGCATGCTACATCTCCGAAGCAGAGGAAGACGTATGGGAACCCGGTCTATATGCGCATTAGCAATGTCTTCTGGCGAGCCAAGCTGGGAACAATACTTACTATAGTGTATAGCTCGTCGTAAATGTCAACGTTGCGCTCCGTACACGTCCACGCATAATCGCCTTGCCCGTAGTGACTGTCGACGTTCTCTTCTTGACTAGCGTCTTGGAATGTGCAGTTGCCATTGTGAGTGCTAAGAGTATAAGGGTAGTCATCCATGCGCTCGAATGTCCCGCATTCCTTCCCGCTCCCACTGTCATGGACGAATTTGCCATGTGCATTCAGGCATCCTACACTGGACTCTGGGGTTGCGGTGCCCCAGTTGTCGGAGGCTAAAACGTAGATGTGACCAATGCCGCTGAAGTCTGCTTGTTGTATACCAGCGTATGTAGGTAGTGCGAGCGAGGTAACGAGCAGGAGAAGCGTGGTGGGGATGTTGGCAAACATGATGCGCAGACGTTGGTTTGCGTTCCGAGAGGAGAGAGACGAGTATGCAAGCTTTCCAAGGTTCAGTCGGTAGTGTTATAGCGAAATGAATCCTACTCTGGGGAAAGCAAGTACCCAGGCTCTTTATGTTGATCGACCGTAGCACAGCTCAGGCGTACCGTGCCACGCTATACAACAAAGAGCGTGCCTGGCAAACCCCTCGCGCCGTCTCTCTAGGAGCAAGCACTAGGCTCTTTGGTGGGGAAGAGACACGCCCTTGCGAAACCTACCCCAAGAATGCTGCGGGATAGATTAATTTCCCCAGGAAACCAATTTCGGATCCCCTCCTCGTGATGACGGTAGACAAGCTCGCTTCCCAATTTGAGGAAAACGAAGTCTAGATACTTCAACGTTGGCGAATAGGCGAGAAGGAAATAATCGCATAGCATACGGCGTGACCTTGTACTTAATATCGAACGTTGGGCCTTAACAGCATCGGGACGAATGTCGCGCGTATAGGACATCATGCTAAGAGCTGAGGAATGGTACAGATATGCACGGGTTTACCAAGGCGGACGCACCACGTGCCCAATCACAAGGAACATGGCGAATCGTCGGCAGGCAGAGAGATGAGGGATCGAAGGATCAGGCGTCGGGCGGACTTGGAGCTTGTTTCATTTAGCCAGAAATGCCGAAGCAGATATGTCAGAGATCTGTAAGCGTGGATTGTTGGAGAGCGGACGGAGATGTCAGCGGAGGGACATTTGGGAAGCGGCGAGAGGTGCCGAGGCGCCAGTGGAGCTTGGACTTGAACGTCGCGCGCAAGCGAGGTATGGCGAGCAGCTGAACCATGTGTCCTACCCGTCTCATCATCTATGACCGACTCGACTTCATGGTTTGAAGATGAGTACGAATTGGAGTCGACCGCATCTCATCAATATGTGTCGATAACTGGACAAGAGAAACTATGATGACGGCGATTCTGACCCCGCGAGCGGCCCAATTGAACCCCTCCGAAGACCCTCAAACCCCGAACCAGTTCTTCCCTACATCACGATACCCGAGTCCGGGATGATAATGGCAAATGCTGGCCACTCCTGTCGATCTCCCGCAAGATACCCACAAGCCCGCGCATCATCTCCGCTGAACCCAGCTTAGCGCTTTCGGCAGCATTACGCATCACTCATGAAGTCCGGAATAGCGCCTTCTCCTGGGATGATCAGAGCTAGTTCTACCGACTGCATCTGGATCTTGGCGACTAACTAGGCTAAACTACAAACTCACGATACTGGGGGACGGGTCTTAAGAGCAGCGCATATGATGCGTTTGGCGCCTAAATTCTTATCAAGAAGAACGTCTTCTCGTTTCAGGGCGCCACACGTCAACCATGTCATGTCGGCATGCAACTATTCTACCAGCCAATCCCTCGCCTGCTGAACATGATATCATGTCGGTGTCGTTTTCAACAATACATCGATGCATCACCGTTACTGCGCCTTCCGCATGGGGACAGAAGGGTATAAGAATCTGCACGCCAGTGGTAAGGGCAGAATTGGGGCAGTGCATGTGAGAAGGATTGAGTATGGAGGGTACAGTATCACACGTGCACCTCATATAAGGGAAAAGCTGAACAGGTCCGCAGCCTACATCAACATAGAAACTTGCTAAGTAAGTAACCCGACGTTAATGTAGGCTCCAGACCTGTTTGGTTTTTTCCTAGATTGACGTGCGTGGGCGGTTACAGTGATTAGCTCTTTGACTATAGGAACACGCAATAGGGTTGGTCTCGAGCCGAAGACTGGGATGTAGGCGTTCAGAGCCAGAGGACCTTGCGGCGTAGCGTAGAAAGATGCACCGAGTTGATAGGTGCGGACATTCGCGAAATGTGCCACACCTTATAATATTATGCGACCTTAAATAATGCATTCGAAGAGCGTTATGTTAAGAAACTATTGTTTATTTAGAGAGCTTATTATACTCTATCTAAGCTAATATAATGTCTATACAGAGCTATAAGGTATAAGAGTCTTATAAAGATTAGATAGTTAATATTATATTAAATTATAATATTATTATAGTAAGGCTTAAAAAAAGTACTTAAAAGTTAAATATATATAGTATAAGCTATTAGCCTAAAATAGGCCTAATACCTAAGAAACTAAACTATTATACGTTCTTTTCTAAAAGTGCTTAAAGTTCTAACTAAGTGTCTAGAACATTAAAGTAGAAGTCTATAGGCCTAGCTATACTTCTTAAAGAAAACTTAGACTATATACTCTAACTATAAAGTAAGAAGTAGTATATTAATATAAGGTATATATATAATAAAAAGAGTAAGAGAAGTAAAGACTATAGAGAAGTAAAGAGAGTAAGAGGTAATAAGTAACCTTATAAGA